CTTTCCTCTGACATTTTTCAGACCATTTCTCCACTGATAATACCACGTGAATCCAAATCTGCTCTTCCAACGTGCTGCTGCCTTCTCAGATGAGATCTTCTGCAAATTTAAGTTTAGTCTCTGTTACATCCTAGTCATTAATGAAAACATTGAGCTTGTCCCAAGACAGACCCCTGTGAAATCCCACTTGATACATCCTTCCAGTTCAACAGTGAAAAATGTGTCAAACCAGCTATTTACTCATCTTGCAGTGCTTTATATTCCCCTTGTTTTTTATGAGAATGCCTTGTGAGAGCATTCAAAATGCTTAACTGACATCAAGATACATATCATAGAACTGCCATTCCCATGTTCATGAGACCTATTAAGTTCAAACAGAAATTAGGTTCATTTAGCACAATCAGTTCTTTCAAATCCATGCCACCTCCTATTTATCACCTTCTTTTCTTCTAGATGTTTTATTAAACTGTTGTACTGTTTGTTAGAAGATTTTCCTGGGAATTAAAGATGAGTTGCTTCATTTTATATTTCCTTTGATCCTTCTACTGCTTGTTTCTAAAGGTGAGCATCATCCCTTTTTCAAATCTTCTGGAGTGTCGTGCATCCCATGCAAGCTGTCAGAGACAACTCATCGTAGATGTCGAATACTTTCTGCTGGCTGCCTAGGCACTTGCAGTGAATTTCACCAGGCCCAGACAATTGAAAAAAACTCTTAATTCTTCTAACTGCTGGTTTTTCACTTTAGGATCAGAGCTTATCTTTGCTGTTATGCTGTCACCAGGATGCCTGGAGTTAACTGTACCTACTTAGTACAGCCATAACCATGCTATCTTTTTAATTGTTCATTTGATAGATCTATTAGGTTTGTCCCTCTAAAGAGTCAAAAAGTTACCAAAATAATTTGCCTTAGTCACGCATCATGTGCATTAATTGTCTTTAATTTGGTCTCAACAAAAGACAAACCAGAAGAAGGTCTGACGTAACGAGACGGTCTGGTAGACCTCGTGTCATCTGGAGGAGCAGCTCTGAAGAGCCATGCTCCAGTGCCTCTGTATCGTTCCATTAGCTCGTTTGTTTATTCATTTACCTGTTATATGTAGGTCACAGTAATCTGGCAGTGAACTTGAGGTGCTATTTTCCATTGGGTATCATAACTTTATTTAAACATTTATGTCACAAGAGTATTAAATCATTATTTTGCTTAATCTTTCTCTGATACCTTCAAAGAACTTCCTACTACATCTTATTTTTTGAAAGTTCATCTTTTTATTTAGACAAAAAAAAAAAAACTAAAAATTAGTAATTCAAGTTATTTTTTCAGTATGACACTATCCCCAGGCTGATTTTTATTGGTTTTTCCAGCCCTCAGAGCTCCAGCAGTGCCAATCAGTGGCATCTCGGGTGTCTCTCTACTCCCCCACAATTCTAATTCACAAAAATATAGGGACTTTTTATTTCACTTTTTATATACATCTATCTATAGAACTAACGAGTGTGGTTATGTCCAAACGTGAAGGTGTCCAATGGATCTTACTGTAGTCGTTACGAACCTGAGGATTTTTAGGTGCCTCCCGAGTTAGGTGGCAATAGGCAAAGGATTTGCAGGTTCCGGGAGGCCTTAAACTGGGAATGCTTTTGCAAGTTTAACTTGATAAATCCCGCTGTGGACAAGCCATAGGAAGAGAAGTGAGCTAAACCAAATACATGCCCAGCAGCTCTCAAGTTCCCCCAAGTAACTCTGCATACGTACTTTCAGAGCATTCAGGGACAGAAAGTAGTGTGTTGGGAAGTTTTCTTGTTGCTTCTCACGAGTTTAGGGTTTTGAATTAAGGCACTTCTTGACAGTTTATTTGTAGGAGGAGGAATATTCAGAGGTGGCAGAAAGAATCAAATATTCTTTCTGCAGAGTAACTTTTGCTAAGAGTAACAGCAGGTTGAACTTATTTAAAGGCTTACATTATTGCGGGAAATCTTGGTAAATGAGGACTGGTGGGGGAGGCTGGGTGCAATTGTACTTAGGGTACAAACAGTTTTGTCGAGAGTTTTGTCAGTTTATCACATGGATGAAACAACCACAGAGGAATTAGACGTACAGAATTTGTTTTCATCATGGATTCCTCACTTTTTCATTGACAAAGCAATCACAGCAGAACTAATTGGGCATCACCGGGTAAAATAGAAATCATTATTTGGTACATAAACATTTGTTTCCCTTTCCTTCTCTCTCTTTTTCTTGCATATACACTTGCACAAACACATTCCTGTAGAGGTGGTGGAATTTGCTCTTGGTATGGGATTAAGATCTGGCACCGGTCATCTACAGGCGATCGACATGTTGTACAGAAAAGGGGGCATAGTCCCGTGGATGCAAAATGTCTCGGGTCTAGCTCTCTTGCTAAATGTAAGTCATAGTTGAAATAGAAGATAAAGGCTGATTGCAGAATCACAGAATGGTTCGGGTTGGAAGGGACTTCCAAAGATCACCCAGTTCCACCCCCCCTCCCCGGGCAGGGCCCCCTTCCCCCAGCCCAGGGGGCTCCCAGCCCCGTCCAACCTGGCCTGGAACCCTTCCAGGGAGGGGGCACCCACAGCTGCTCTGGTAGAGGAATCATGGCTTGAGGTTTTCTGGCTCTTGTTACATGGACGAGAGGATTATGTTACCGTAATGGCCTCTTCTGGGCATGGTAGTTAGGGATCTGTTTCCAGCAGGACACTTTACACTTGGAAGAGAGGATTTTGTTGTTGAGGGAAGAGTTTTATGCATACTGAGGAACCAGCTCTGCTTTTGAAAGGCAGGCACTGTGTTGAAAATGTGACATAGAGGGATGACTGTATGACAGCAGCTGCCTCCTTCAAAGTGGTTCACATCGTTTTGTTGAGGTTTATCCATGTCTGTGTGCTTTGTTGCATGAAGTCACTGGTTTTATGGGTACCCTGTTTTTTCATGGACATTGCTTAAACATGACCAAAATTATAGCGCAAAGTGAAATATCAGGGAGGTTCAAGGAATTCAGGCTTGTGTGTTGTGTTAGTTTCTGTGGCCAACGTCTGTCGTGCGTCTTGCAGCCTGCCTCTGTACCTGCGGCCGTTGTCTGTGTCGGCTTTTGTGATCGCCTTCCCTTGGTCTGGAAGACAAAGGAGTATTTCTGTCTGCCTTGTCAGGAGCTCAGTACTAGAGCGGTGCTCAGGGCAGAATCCCAGGGCTGCCTTCCCGAGGAGGGATCGCGGTGCCCGTAACTGCAGCACTGGCGGAGGGGGCTACCGACGGCCAGGACACGGAGAGGTGGGGCCTGGCCCGGCGCTCGCCGGTCGCAGCCCCTGGCCGCCACAAAGCGCACGCAAAACCGGGGGTCGCCCGCCCCGCCCGCCGCCCGGGCCCCCCCGCTGCCTCCCCGTCCCTGCGCCGCCCGGCAGGGGCCCGCGGGGGCGACGCGGGGGGCGCGGCGCGGGGTGTGGCGTGGGCCCGCCTGCAGCCGCGGTGCCGCGCGTCTCGGGGGGGCGCCTCGTACCGCAGTGTGCGAGCCCGGCCCGCTCCCTGCCAGCGCCCGCGCAGGGGCCACCGGCCTGGCTGCGCGCTGCTCTGCCTGCTCCTCGGCGGCGCGGGGCTGCGCGGCGCGGTGCGCGGTGCTGGGCGGCGCTGCGCGGGTGCGCGGTGCGCGGTGCTGGGCGGCGCTGCGCGGGTGCACGGCGCGGGGTGCTGCGCGGCGCTGCGCGGGTGCGCGGTGCGCGGTGCTGGGCGGCGCTGTGCGGGTGCGCGGCGCTGCGCGGGTGCGCGGTGCAGCGTGCTGGGCGGCGCTGCGCGGGTGCGCGGCGCTGCGCGGGTGCGCGGCGCGGGGTGCTGGGCGGCGCTGCGCGGGTGCGCGGCGCTGCGCGGGTGCGCGGTGCAGCGTGCTGGGCGGCGCTGCGCGGGTGCGCGGCGCGGGGTGCTGCGCGGCGCTGCGCGGGTGCGCGGCGCTGCGCGGGTTCGTTCCCCGCCGCCGGGCAGCCCCCGTCGCTGCCGCGCGTGGCCGTGTCCGCGGGCCGGCCCGCGCCGTCGCTCCCCCCGCTCCCCCCCGCGCTGGGCGCGCAGAGCTCCTTCCCCGCGCCGCCGAGCGGGGCCGAGGTCCCTGATTAATTCCACTCTGATGTCAGACATGCGGCTCTGCTGGGAGGGATTTGCAGGGCTGCGTTTAAGCTCCCGTTTGCTGGGAGAACCCCCCTCCCGTCTCCCCTCCCCGCGCGCCCCCCGCCCCTCCCGGCGCACGTAGGGGTGGTTTGCTGGCAGGGGCGCTGGCGGCCGGGGTCCGCGCGGAGCTGCGCCTCCGTGCCTCCCTCTCCACCGCTGGATTTCCCCCGTTCTTCTCGTCTGGCCGCGGCGGAGGGCAGGGAGAGCAGCTTTGTTAAACTAGGACAATGCGATGCATCCCCCCCTCTGCTAATGACAGACCGTTACTTAGCAACACGGGGGGGGATTTTAAGAGAAGATCAGAGCGCTGGGATGAGGATATAAACTCTGCCGTTCTCCCTCCCGGGGAACTTACCAAAGAGGCACCTCTCCTTTCGTCAAGCGTCTGATTTTTGCATACAAGAGGCAACCGGAAAGTCTCAGAGAGCTGCTTCCCTGATGGATGGCTGGCTGCCTCCCCCCGCACCTCCTCTGCTCAGGCGCTCCACTCTTCAGTTACATGCTAAGGGCATCATTTAAAGGGAAGCCCAAAGTGGGATCAGTAAGCTCCCTGCATGCGTATGCAGGTGACTGAGAAGGGGACCGGTGGGCAGAAGGGTGATCCAGGCAGCCGGGGCTTTCCTCCACCCACACGTTGAGGGAAAGTAGCTTTCGTCTTTTTGTTCTGACTTTGGGCAAGGGAGGGAGGGAAGCAGATTGTGCCCAACTCCTTGCTGAGATGAAACGGTCGATGAGAAGAGGTCTCCTTGTCACAGGCACAAAGGCCACCTCCGCCTGGCAGCATGGTGCTGAAATCTAACCCTAGCATCATTCTCTTGTGCTCTTTCCTGCCCAGTGACTACATCATTGAGGAGAAGACGGCCGTGCTGCAGAAGAGGGAGCATGAGGGATTCGGGTTTGTGTTGCGAGGGGCCAAAGGTAAGGGCTGCTTCTTTCGCTCGGTCCTGGGGCTGGGAGGGAAAGCTCCTTCTCCTCACTTTGGCTGGTGCTCCGGGCCCCATTTCCCTGGCTGTGCCGAGCAGCCCACGAGCCCCTGTGCGTCGGGGTCTCTTAGGGGACTCTCTCTTCTCTGGCGGCTAGGCAGTGTGAGCGCAGCTTGTCTCTGGTTACGTGCCTTGTACAGAAAATGCCATTTGTGGCAAACATGCTTCTCTCGCACTTTCTGGGGTGTTTCTCTGGTACGGATGCTGGTATTCGTAGGTTTGCATTTGTAGGAGTTTTCACTTCTGCCTCTCTACTGGGCGTATGAAGTGCATCTGCTCTGTTTCAGGGGCAGATGTAAGCCCCGTGGGGCAGGGCCTGTGTCCTCTGTGGCTTTTTTTTTTTTTTTTTTTTTTTTTTAATGCTGAAAGTATTTCACTATACTTTGGCTCTGTAGAGTTGGGGTCCTTCTCCTGGGAGCCCGGGCTGTGTTGGGGTTCAGCCCCCGCACGAGGGCAAACCAGTAGGTGCCTGTCCTGCAGGTGCCACCGTGCCTTCGACCCTGCGCTGGCAGGCAGCCCCTGCTCGCGCCCGGGGCACGCGTCCCCCACGCAGCCCTGGAGCCCCGGGGCTCCTGCAGCCGGCACCTTGGACCGGGCTGTCACCGTGGCTCCTCTTGCCAGAAACCGACCTTATTGCTACAGAAAAGGAGAGTCCCTCGGGGACTGGTAATGAATGTGCTCCTGTTCCCGTAGGAAACAGGCTCGGGAGGCAGGTCCACCTCCGGCTGGAGAGTCCTCTCCCCAGCAGTTCCAGACTGAAGGCTGGGGAGGGGCGAAGGGGTCTCAGAACTGCAGCTGCTGAAAGCAGAGGCTCGGCGGTGCATGCTTCCATCCCTTCCTTGCACGCAGGGGGCAAGATGCGGGAGGGAGAGCTTAAGCCAGCGGCTGCCAGCTCATTCAGTAGTGCTGTTCCTTTCCTGGACCTCGGTGTGGCTGAAGATCGTTGTGATTTGGGCTTTAATCTTGGGTGTAATTTTCTGTGGGGGATCCCTGTATTGTCTTTGTTCTGTCCGTACTGCGAAAGGGCTCCGTGTGCCAGTGGGTGTGTTTGCGCTCCTGTCAGAATATGGTTGCTGTCTTTTTCTCCCCCTCTCTCCCCTTCCCTATATATGTGACATACGTGTCTTTCCGTGTGCTGCTCACATCAGTCCGTGTAATATGAAGTGAAACTTCAGGGCTCAAAATGGCATCCATTTTTTTTTTTGCCAGATCAGACTTGCAGCTATTGTGTTAGGAAAAATGGGATAAATTTTGTCCTTTTTTCCTTCTTTTTGCTTGTTTGCCCTCCTAACATTTGTAGGCTCTGTATTTTCCTTTGTCTGCTGAGGCTGAAAGACGGGACTTGGAGCAGATTCAGCAGTGGGCGTGAGGCTGTGTGGGACTTGGGTCTGGCTTAGGGATTTGCAGCCTGGCGTTGCTGCAGGGGCACTGAGCAGCGCGTGGCTGCAGAGGGTCGTGGCTCGGCAGCCCTCGCAGGGTGGGCGTGGGCTGTCGTGCCGCCGTCTGGGACGGGTGCTGGTGAGTCTGCTGAAGCCCCTTGGGGAGCAGCATCCTCTCGGCAGAGAGGTGAACGTGGTGGCTCTGAGTCACCCCCGTATTTCCCAGTCACTCAGCCCGGTGCTTCGTGCTGCCGTGGGATTTAAGCTGGAAGGAGTGCTAGGGCTCTCTGCCTTCGCCCTGTCGGTGTCACCACCGCTCACGCCGTGTCACCACCGCTCACGCTTCATTTAGATCAGAACACGCCAGGCCTCGGGGGGCGAACCCGAGAAGGGGTCTGGAAACGGGAGGGGCCAGAGCATCAGCAAAGTCCCTGCAGAGGGAGGGAGCTGGTTAGTGAGACTCAGCTGGATGATCCTCAAAGGAAACTGCACTTCGTGCTGCAGAGGATGGTGAAAATCTTGCATGGCTTCTACCGGACTCACTGAGGGTGGGTTCCTGCCCGAGCCCAAACCTGCCCAGCCGTGTGAGCTGCCTCATCAGCTGCAGCCCCAGCAGAGAACGCTCTCCACCACCCTGGAGAGCCAGTCCTTCCCAGCCCGTCCCGTCTCCACCTCTGTCCAGGAGCAGGAGGAGGTGATGTCCCAGTCACACCAACTGAGCATTTGGACAAAGGTCGTTTTATCCTGGTCCCTGCAGGAGACAAGCTGCCGCTCTCGGGCACGGGACTTGGCTGCAGCCATTGCTTTGGGGAATCGTTTGGAGCAGATGGGAAGGGATGTAGCAGCCCCTTCACTCAGCACTGTGACGGAAAGCGATGAGCAGGTGGATTCACTTCTTCATTTCTTGGCTCAGAGGGACCATCCCGACCTTTCACATACACAAACGATAGACCTGTGCTCAGAATGCTGAAAGGTGATACTTCTTGGCTCGTGATACCCTGAACTCAACCAGTCAGTCTTCTGTGCCTCGACTAGAGCAACCTCCCTCTTCCTGGCTAACCTGACCACAGATCAGGCACTATCTATTTAGTAATACGATTCATAAAATATTCATACATACTTCCCTGGGGCCGTCCCTGTAAATAGTGGTTGTTACAGCTCACACAGTGACTTGGACCTCACATGGTCTCAGCAAATCCATGCTACCAGTTCCCTGGGCAGAGGAGTATTGTTCCTAAGGCAGTTAATGCTCGTTGACATCTGGTTATGGTGGGTTCTGTGGAAGCAGGAGATGGACACATGGTCCCTGACTTGGGAATTTACTCTCTAAGAAAGAAGTAGATGATTTTATGAATAGCAGTGATATTGCCAATAATACAAATTAAGTGTTAAAAAAGAAAAGGAAATGGCTGTAAGTAGTTGCTTCAGGGCACAAGCTTTCTTTTGTCTACTTAGTAGGGGGAGAGGCCACCAAGCAGGGCAGGTGATTCATGAAGTTCCCTGAGATGATTGCTTCCCACGATTCGTGTATCTCCTGAAGCAGCAGATCTGGTGTGCTGCTGGGGAGAAGATGCTGTGCTGATCTGCTCTGGGGCCCCATTTGCTCCTGCTTCTTTCCAGACGTTGTCAGTTTTTTGTTCCCCCCACCCACCGCCCAGTTCTCCAGCCAAGCCAGCACCTCAGCTGCTCCACCAGCTACACCTGCCTTGACGCCCAACACAGACCTGCCTTCCAGGTTTCTGCCAGCTCCCCACACCTCCAGCTCTCGCTGCTCCCTGGAGCAAGTGCCCTCGTCACACTGCCTGCCGCGGTGCCGTGGCCTTCCCCAGACCCTCCAGCGCTGTGTCGGTCCTTGCCTTTGAGCCAGACCGTCGAGGAGGGCTTGTAAATCCAGCAGGTCACAGCTCGTGACCAAAGTGCCCATCCGTGGGACTCTGACGGGGAGGGTCGGTCTGTGCCCCAGCCCCGTCCCTTCTGGCTGGGCTGCAGCCCCCCCGTCGCTCCAGAGCACTCCCTGGGAGCGCCTGGTTGTGGCCCATGTCCCATGTCCCAGGGACGCTGGCCGCCGGGACCGCGCAGCTTCCCTGGAAGCCCGTGTGCCCATCGCCAGCGGCCCGTTGCCCGCGCCTGGCCCCGCGGGCTCACCGGCGACTCGGTCCCACCATCGAGGCTGCGGGGGCTCTGCGGGGCAGGCGCGGAGACCTCGGGGCTCGGGTTAGGGAGGATCTCAGCGTGGATGCCGGCTGCTCATCTCACAAACTCCCGGTCGCTTTTTTGCCGCGTTTTCGCCGCAGGAAGGTTAAAGGCTGATGCGCAGCATCAGATGTTTGGGTTTGCATCTCTTGGCGTAAAGAGCAGCCAGAGCGACTGCTATTGCAGTTCCAGAGACAAACCACCCCGGGTGAACTCAGTGAACCAGCCACCCAAGCGCAGACCTTGCCTGGATCTGTAGCAATCAGTGGATCGTTTGAGGGTGTTGTAGTTTTGGTTCCTGTCCCGCACTTGGTGTGAGGACCCCGGGCTCACAAGTCTCTGCAGCCTGAGTTTGGGTGCTGTGAGGTGCCTGGTGCTGGGTCCCACTGACCTGGGGGGGGGTCTCCACCAGCCGCAGCTCCTGCCCTGAGCAGCCCTGGGGAGATGAGATGGGGAGCGTGGGGGACGTACCGTCAAAGCTCACTGTTGGTCTGGGGCAGAGGGGGGGTTGTCCTAAAGCCCTGCAGCAAGATTCGGGTTGCAGTGCTGGTATCATAAAGTTCCGTGGAGATGGAAGAGCTCACTGATGGTTTTCAGAACTTGACTCTTGTGCAGAGGAGTGTTGTGACCCCTTGTGACCCTCAGGACGGACAGAAATTGGGACTGGAGGTGTTCAGACAGAGCAGGTCAAACACCAAGTTAAGGGTGGGTGGTGTCTTCGTTGTAGAGATCTAATGGAAGACTAGAAACAAGGCCCAGTAGAGTCTAGATACTGCAAATGCTACTTAGGACACACCTTTTATAGTAGCCTTAGAAATTTAAAAATTCAGGAATTGATTTTAAATAACTGCTGTAGCACCCCTTTTCTCCCTGCCCCCGAATACATGTACGCCATTAGTACTTGTTAACTCTTGACCACCCAGCTGCAAGCAGGTACCTGCTGCTCCAGTGCTCTGGGTGCCAGAACAGGGTGTGCAGCTTCCTGCCTGAGCCTTTAAACTGAGACACGCCTTCAGGATTTTAGGTGAGAAGCACCAAGGCAGCTACAGTATTGTTTTATTTTTCAATCTGTAAATGTGTTTCTGGTGAAGTGCCTGGGATCTTGTGGTTTAACCCCAATCTTAGCAATTTGCTCTGCTTGAATTAACTAGTAATATTTTTCACTGCTTAGCTTGGCTAGTAATAAAATTAACTTGTCTAAGAAAAGCAGTATTTGCAAATAATAGAATGGGATAGGGTGGGCTAGGTTATTTTCAGTTGGAAGGGACCTACAACGATCACCTAGTCCGACTGCCTGGCCACTTCAGGGCTGACCAAAAGTTAAAGCACGTTATTAAGGGCACTGTGCAAACGCCTCTTAAAC